AATTTTTTAAATATTATAAAAAGTTTTTTTTTAAATTCTTTTTCAACTTTTAGCTTTTTTTTTTTCCAAAATTTTGAATCAAACCATTAAAATCCAAAAGTAATCTATTATTTTCTTGAAATTTCGAAAGGTTTAAAAATTTACCGATCATTTTAGTGTTAATTTTTCTTGGGCTTTCTTCTGTAATCAAAAAAAAAGAAAAGAGAAAATGTCACAAATCAGTCGAAAAGGTCATTAGATTCTCACACACTTGTTCATCTCTTGTCCATATAACCTACATCTTATCTAAACCAAATCAATCGGGAACGATATTAAGTAACGGGAAAAAGTTCCTATAGCATAAAAGTTTCAAACTTATTTGCTTAAAATGTTTGATTCAATAATGCATGCTTTTAGAATACCTGAAAGTTTCTTTAAATTAGCAAATTTAAAATAAAACATTGAACAATTTTTCATTTCAAAAAACGTTTCAAAAATGTTTTAGCAAATTACAAATAAAACATTTAGCAATTATAGTTTCAAAAATATTTTAACAAATTAAAAATAAAAACATTTAGCGATTAGTTAAATCTTAGGTAATTTCATATTCAGTATTCAATTCCTCTTTACAAAACAAATATTTGCTTATTTATTTAAAATTTATACTTGGTCTTTTATATTTCATCCTTTTTCAAAGTTTATGTACCAAAATCACAAGCTCAGCTGCTTAGGTTAACTATTAGTAAAACCAGTAAATTCAAATTAAAAATATCGGCTCAAACTTGAATGAGCAATACTTGATATGATAAAATGATAATGATTACTTTTCAAACACGTATTTTCCTCATTTAGGTCTATTTATTTTATATATAAATTTATCAATTTGAAATTTCAATTGATATCGTCCAAAAATTCTGATTCTAAAAAAATCCTTTTTTTTGATTGACAATTTTAATAAACACTGTCATTTTAATGTCATTTTAAGGGATAAAAATCTGCCATTACTTGTAAAATAAAAGAACAATTTTTCGTAACAAAATATTTGTCAATTAAAATTTTCAATTTTAACTAAAAATTATCAACTTTCATTAAATTTATTAATCAATCAATTGGAGTGAATTATTTCTGCTGAAATGATTGAATTTAATTTAAATTTAATGGTTAAAATAATGGATTTAAATTATAAGCATAGCTATTTATTGATACATACCTTGAATGCCATGAGCAATGTGTACGATGTCCCCATTTATTCATTATATCCTCATTGTTGATATCATCAATAGTTAAAGCATTAAATTTGCATATGTAAAGGATTAGCATAAACAGTTGAAGATGATAAATTGATCGATTGCAGCACCAAACATCGCTATTATCATCATCATGAATCATCATTAATTGCTGGAATGAAAAAAACAAATCGAGAATGATCGAGAATCATCGATACAAAACATACATCGTCCCCGCTTTTTAATGTCACATTTCCCGATTGTCACGATACAAATCCTGATCTCATACATCATAATACATACATATGTATCGATCTTTCTCCTTAAAATACTTATCGCGATTTCTTAGCTAAACTTATTACAACCCATTACAATATACCTTTCGATACTTCACGGTACAAATCTCATTCCCATGCGGTATGTTTTATTTATCGTCCTCTCTTACGGTACAAATCCCACCTCCACAAGTCTTTGACCACACCTACCCGAAAAATTGATTCACATCATAAAAGATTATCAATTTTCTAGGATATGTATTAAATATCATCAGATTAAATGTTTATTTGTATACTATTCAATAAAACAATATGCTTATTGACATAGCAAATTGATAGTAAAATAATGGTCAATGAATCATTTCATACTTTCATAGCATTATTGTAAGAAATACATCATCAAAACTCGACAAATTTATTTATTTATTTTTTGATTTTATAATTTATATTTTTTTCATTATCATATATTTTTAATTTCTTAAATCTATTTAATTTATTTAGTTTGCAACTTTATTTAATATCACTCTAATTTAATTTAATTTTTATAAATTATAACACGATAGAAAATCCAATTTTTTTAATTTACAAAAAAAAGGTTAGATTTTTTTTAGTTTAATTAATTTAATCTTTCTTAAATTATTTTTCTTCATTTTTAATTTAATTTTTTTATAAAATTATAACACGACAGAAAATAATAAAATATTGTTGCAGGAGCAAGCTAATTATTCTAGAAAGTAATACCATCATTTCAATTATCCTTAATTACTTTGAAAATATTACTCATAATAAAATTAAAATTTAAATCTCTGCATGTACGATATTTTAGATATAATAAGATTATGTTTACATGTAACCAACCTTACACTCTTATTTATTCATTCGCCTCAATTTTTTTCTTTAATTTTCATTTCATACCTATATTCATGACACAATTTATTATTTCTCTTTCAGTTTCCTACCATTACTTATGAAATATTATTGCTATTTAATTGGCAATAATTAATAACATTACATATATGCTTAAATGATACATTATATGTTTATATTAATGGAAAATTTTTTGTTACTTAAACTTTTATTATGCAAATTTATCCTTTATTGATTTTAAATTTTTCAGAAATGATGAAATTAACTTCATCACATAACTATTGTACTAATAAAGAAAAAATTAAAATTATTATTCGTTATTGTAATTGATGGATGAAAATGACTCGATTTTCGTTTGTTTAATTTCTGTTTTTATATTTTAACGCCAGTAGTTTGCGAATATACCTATTTTATCCTACCACACACACACATCAGATGCATTCATCACGTGCTACACGCATCCACACGCTTGCACACGCAGTTACACGTGTACAGATATATGCATCATACAAATTTATAGGTATTCTTTTTTGAGAGTGATATAGTTGCAATGGATATGCAAATTTTTGCATCAAATTTAATAGATAAACTATTTCAATTGATGAGTAGCTTGAAAATATTCTTATTCGAATGCTTTTATATTGCACATAAATACCCCGAATATTGTGTAGAGATATCCCGAGATATCGAGGGAAAAAAAACTTTACAATCCTGAGAGAGTGCTATAAATGTGATGAAATGAAAAATACCGACAAAAGATTTACAACTTCTCATCTCCAACTATATGCAATAGTTTTATTATTCATAAATTTTCATCAGTAATTCATCCATATGCTTAATCAAACTAATCAGTTAAAATAGTTATTAATATTCATCTCAGAACTTGGCTTTTTTGGCTCTTTTTTGATCTCATAAATTTCTTTAATGTGCTAGAAAGCCTAAATTGATGTGAAATTTTTTACTCTCAAAAAAATGTCTTACTGTCTAAAAATGTTTGTGAAAAATGTTATACTCTTAAAATGTCATTTTATAAAAAGTTTTTATAAATATTGAAATACTGTTGTTAAAAAAAATTAATTAAATTTGATGGAAATAATTTTTTCAGAATTTTACTAATATAAATATGCATTTAATTAATTTTAAAATAAAGCAGAATGCTGAAGTTTTTTTTTTTTTTGAATGTACATTTTTCCTTTAATATCAAAGATAGTAATAAATGTTGCAAAAAGCATTCGTTTTTTCTTGAAATGTTTGAATTATAAATTAAACCCATCGAAATTTAATTTTTCAAAATGCTAAAAAAAGAAAAATTTGCCAAACATTGAGGAAATTATTTATTGCTTTGTAGCAAAAAAAGAGGAAGAATACCTATCAAAAAATGAATTAACTTTAAATAAGCTTTCATTTGATAATCAGAAAAAAAACTAACTAAGTTTAAATAAACTTTTAAATTTGTATTATCTCTTGCTTGTCTATATTTAAATATTTTAGTTTGTGTCTTTTTCTTAAATCTATATCAATTTGGTATGAACATGAAATTGAAGAAATGTATTACTTGAAATGAAGTAATACAGTGCTCGAATATCAATGATAACGCACAAATATGTATTATGTAAATATTGAAAAAAAAAGAAGAAATTACTGCAATAATATTCTTTTAAAATACTGAACAAATAAGAATAATATATGATATTGGGATGAAAATATCACTGTCATCTTTATCAACCATATTTTATTACTACTTTGAAATTTATTTTATCAAATTTATTAATCATTTATGACAAATGAGCCTTGAATTTCGTTTCACTTTTTGTTTTAAATTTAGTTTTTCGTTTTTTTTTTTTAAATCTGTAAACAATTTTAGTGAAAACATATAAATCTTCAAGAGAAATGACTGTAAAATCACATTATTTGATATGACCGAAAGGATAGAATTGGAAATATTTGTTACAAACAACTCTTTGCTACCAAAAATTTTAAATCTATAAACAGTGAAACTTATGTGAAAGAGAAGAAAATGTTTAAAGAATAAAAGCAAAAGAAATATTCTTTCTGTTCATTTGTTGATTTCGGCATACATCAAATCGTACAAACGCTTTTATCCAAAGGCGGCATTTTATTTAAATTTTCGATTTTTGAATTTCTTTGATATTTGAAAAAACTTTTTGCAAACTTTTAACTACCATTTTTCCCATGTAATAATTCAAAAATATTTATTTGATATGAAATATTAGTAGTATATTTTTGTGGAAAAAAAACTTTTAATTTCACTTTCTTAATTTTTTATTTAAATTAAAATTTTTTTGTCACTGAATTAATTTTTGCAGTCATAATCTTTTTTACTAAAATATACTCAATATCAGATATTCATATTTTTAGGACCTATATTAGCAGTAAATAGCCGATATCAAAGTATGATATGATAAGATGAATATATGAAATAGATCAAGAATAATATTGTCAAATAAACAAGCCAAATAAGGAAAATAAAAAAAGACTTTGTTCAAAGATTAATCAGCCAAAGATCAATTAACCAATAAAAAGATGAAATGAAGGAAAACAAAACATTAATTGTACAATTTTTATCGGAATAATTTACAAAATAATGCATAATTACATCAAATGATAACAAATTTTAATCTTTTATTCATAAAAAGGAGAAGAAAATGAATGAGTGATGAAAAATCAATTGAAGTTTCAAATTTCATAAGGGAAAAATAAAAGTACAAAAATGAAATACCTGCTGGGATAAGTTAAATGATTAAGAAAAAATGTGAGATAATCCATTACGTCATACCATTATGCGTTAACTTTTCGCTTCATATATAAAGGAATATAAGTAATTAAGTTTATAATTACCCATTACATTAAATACTTTTTTCTCATGCCAATTAAAAATGTGATAAAACAATCGAATTATATGCTATTTCATGTAAATTAATTTGATTTTTTTGTTCCCTTAAGTAAACAATCATATAATGAGAAATGAAATATTTCATAACTGAATTCGATTAACTAATTATTCATTTAAGATAATAAACCGGATAGAGTTAATAAATTTTGCTATTATTTGAATGTTTATTAGATCCGATTTTGAAGAACTTTTCGCCAAAAATTTTTTTTTAATTTTTTAAAATGATTTTCCAAAAATCGCACATTATCACAAATTTTTTTCCTCTGAAATTTTTGGATCCAACGAACAATTATAAATAAGAAATGTCAAAAGTTCCAAAGTGAAATAAAATTTCGCATAAATGGATTCTGACCTTTGTTTTTTGCAAATCAAATTTAGTACTGTAATTACATTTGTTACAAGTAGAAATTTTAATAAATTTTAGGCTTTTTTTTTGAGCATTTAAAAGGAAATATATCACATATTCACCGAAGATTAAATCGAAAAATTCTAACAGCAAAAGAAAAAAAAGCATTCCCTTTTAGTTTCTATGCAAAATTTGTTATTTATGGCAAATTTTTAGATAATTTTGCACAAAAATTTACTTTGTATAAAATTTATTTTAAATAATCGGACTGGATTTGCTGCTTAAATCAAATTAAGATTAATAGCTGAATTAAATTTTTAAAATTAACTACCACTTCTATCATTCGTCATTAGCTATCACTTCTAATTTTTCCACTAATCACAGTAGTCATCTCCGCAATCAGTACCTGCATTTAGCGCCGTATTAGAATCTGAAATTTATTTAAATATTAGCAAAAAGAAAAAAAATACTAGTTTAGAATAAAGTTGATAAATAATTTAGTTTTTCATTTCATTTTTTTTAGAAATTCTTAAGATAGTATGATTTTTTTTCAGGACTAGAATCAGTTCTTTTCATTGGAATACTTTTTAAACGTTTGGGTTAATTTACTAGTTAGAAGGATTACATGAGCAGGATTTAAAATTTTTGAAAATAACAGAAAACATTTGAAATATCAACAAAAAGTTAAGTCTTGGAAAAAGACGATTAACATTATAAATCGTTAAATTTGTGGAATCTGCATGGTTGAAAATAAACGCATAGTTATGCTGGTTATCGTAATACAAAGCTATCTTAATACATTGTTGTAGCTATCGCGTGGTTATCGTAATACACAGTATAAATCGGAGAACATAAGACTTTTTAATATAAAAAGGAAAAAAATGAATTAGAATTCATTAAATCAAAATAAAACTTAATGCATCGAGCTCGACAAGTTTCTTTCCCTAAAATAAAAATTCAAAAGCTTGAAAAACTTGCTTAAAATCTTCATAAATTGATAAATTTAATTTTTTTATCTTTATAATTTGAATTTAATAAAAAGAATCAAGTAAAAAGAGTTCTTGAATTCAAATATTTAATTACCAGCGCAATTGTTGAGGAAGAAATCGGACGATGTAGTAATTTTCAAATCATTAATATTATTTTTAGTTGTATGAAGATAGCAAGTTCGTGTATTTTTAAACCAATTAACTGAATAGCATTTTGTCTTGTACACTTGATGTGATATAGAGCATGTCATCAAGCATTCCACTAAAAATGTGTCAACTTAATTACACTTTTCTTTTTTTTCTGATATCATTTTATTTAATATATAAATTAATGAGGAATTTATGTATAACATTTTTCACTTTTTTTTGCATAAATATAATTTAGTTAAGAGATGATTAAATTGATTGATATTATTATATTCAATCAATAACCACTGATTACTTTTTTATCGATTTCAATATATTCCGATATTTTCATAAATCTTTTTTAACATACTATCTTTAATTTGACATACTATCTTTTACTATTGGAATGCTCCCAGCTTCTCGAAATATTGGTTTTCTCATTCTTAATTTTCTCTTTTATGATAATATACTTCTATTAATGGCTATAAATGCTAATTCCAAAAAATATCTCAAAAATTAATTGATTTTAAAATAAAAATTCAATTAGCAAATTGGAATTTTTGAATTTGAAATTTAAAACAATTAATAAATTATGCCAAACAAATAATATCCTTGTTTATAAATTCTATTTAATTAACTTACATGGCGTATAAATATTGTCGACAATAAGACCATTTAATGCATACAGTACAGCATTTTCACATATCGAAAAGCATTTTCGAAGTTTGGTAATATTGTAATTGACAGTATCTATTATGGATGAAAAAATTTTTTCATTTTTCGGAAAATTTAACCATATCTTGGAAAATTTTAACTAAAATATTTTCTTAAAAAAAATATATGAAGATTTTATTTCTGGGAAAGAAACTACTTGTTTTTTTTTTTTGCTATAAAATATTTGAATAAAATTTTTTGACTAACTTTATTTTTTCATAATTTTAAACAGACCAAAGAAATAGATAAGTAGATAAAAACAGATAAATACAGTAATATCATAATAAATAGTTCAATATTGGTACATTATCATATCATTTTGTTTATCTTCTATAATATCACATTTATATGATAAACTTATTGATGATATCAAATGTTATAACAATTTAAATATTTTTATGAAAAGAAAAATAACCGTTTTTTCCAAAATGCTGGATATTTCAATTATATTTACTTCAAGAAATAAGTAAATATTTATAGATTATTTTATAAACAGAAAAATATTATATGCAAATATTAAATAGGTAAATATTAAATAAAATTCAGTCAATGTGATGCAATATTTTCTAATCTTATCTAAAACATTCCCATAATTAGTTCACTTAGTAATAAAAGAAAAACAATCGTTACCGCGGAATGACCTATTCAAACGGTAACAGATATTCACTATTATTTTTATCGTATGGTAAAACACTCAAATCATATTTCATTCATGTTAATTGCTTAGAAGAAATCGAAAAGTGAAAGAAATAAAATTTCAACTGTTAATTTTCCTCTCATCCATACAACTATTAATTTAATTAATCGGAAAGAAGAAAATTTTTTTTTTAAAATATATGCAAAAATTTTACTGGCATTTATCGGTTTTGTTTCTTGTTTTCGTGCACTTAAACAAACATATTCATAATAATCTATTGATTTAGACGGAATTAATTGAGCATTATTGATAATTCGATTGCCATCATTTAACATACATTCCTAAAATGATCTTTGATTCTTATTAAAATAACTTTTTATTTGAGTGAATAAAATATTCACTGAAAAAAATTTAAAAAAAAAAATGGTTGAATTTATGGAGAAAAAGACAAGTCATTGTTAAATAATCGGAAAGTTACTATTATATATTCAAAAATAGTTTTTTTCTTTTTTAACACAAAAATAACACCAATTAATAAATAATAATAAAATGATTTCTAAAGATGCATAAGGTTACAATAGTAAGTATGCAAAAGTTAGATGATTAAACATATAAGTATATACAAATGCAAATTTCTGATATTTCAAATGTTTTATGAACAAAAAAAAGGAAAAATTTTAAACTTACTTTAGTTTGCTTATTGTAATTAATACTCAAACATAAGAATGCGGTACGCAAAATGCAGTTATGCAAACAATCTTGCAAACCAATTTGCTTAATTATTTCTTGCTGATAATCATTCAATTGGCTAAAAGAAAAAGAAGGAAAAACTGTCAGAATTCAGGAAAAATTATTACCTAACAAATTGGATAGCTTTCAATTTCAATGTCATCTAAAACTTAAAAATATAATACATCTATTAACCGCAATATTACTCAAATATTACTCGAATCGAATTTCCTCTTACAACAGGCAAAAAAAAAAAAAATAAAAATTGAATAAAGTATTACTGAAATTTACTACAGAAAATATTAATTTAATGAAAACGAACTTATTAGCAAAGTAATGAAAACATTTGAGTTCTTTAATTAATCCATTACGTATCATTTGTCGATTGTTTGGATCTTGCTCAATAATTCCAATGTTAAGAGTGTAATTTTTATGTTGAATTGATAATTTTGAATCTTTTATGGTTGTATTCCATTCCGGAACTAACATATTAATAGGAACAGGAATAAATTGCAATTTAGAAGTGATAGTTGTTGTTGCAGTAGTAGTAGTAGTAGTTGTTGTTGTTATTGTTGTAGTGATAGTGGTAGCAGTAGTAGCAGTAATCATAATCGTAATAATATTATCATTTATTATATCACTAGTAGAAGAAGTGATAATAGTTGTTGGAGGATATAAGACGGTAGAAGTAACTTTAGCAATCGGTGCTTCCGAACGTTGTTGAAAATTACGATGAGTAGATACCGGACCCGGTCTAATAGCAGCACTTTTTATCGTTCTTACCGGTGTTAACAGACTGGCAGCAATACGATAAGCAATATCTTTATTAGCAGTAGTATGATATTCATCATGTGATGTTAAATCACTACTTTCTTCATTGTCGTCGTATTCATTATTATTATAAATGTTATCGTTATCATCATCACCATCATCGTCATCATCATCGTCACCATTATCACTATTATTGTTGTTGCCACCATCATTAATATCATCACCATGATTATTGTTATTATTATTGTCACAATCTTTATTATCGCCATTACTGTTGCTTCCTTCATCATCATAATTAATATAATATGAGGTTGTTTTTTGATCTGGTGGTATAGTAGTTCCGGTAGATTTGACAAACCTAGTAAATTATTTAAATTGTTATATAAAGTACAGTTTATCCTGGGTAAAAAAGTAATTGGATATTAAATGAATAATTAAGTTTTGATTATTATTCATTTAATTCTTCCATTTCATTCATACATTAAACTTCATTAAATATTAGTCAAATAATAAAACTGTATTGTTATACTAACTAAATAGATTTTTTTTCTAATAATATCATTAGATAATAATTCTATGAGTAATGATGCAATTATTAGGAAGCATTAATTGTTGACATTTTGAAATGTTAATTAGCATAATTTAATTGATTATCCCTTATCCTTGATTGGATATGCATTTGCGCTATTATTTTTTCCTTTTTTTTTTTTGTACAAGAAATGGAAAACTTCCTTGGAAGGAAAATAATTATCAATTTTAACTTAAATAATTCAAAAAGTATTAAACGGAAATTAATTGCTAATTTTGACCTTAAATAAAAATTTGAAATGTAAAAGGATATTATTTATCAATTTCAACTTAAATAAAAATTTTAATTGTATGAAAAAGAAAATTTATAACAATTTTTGTTTTTTAAATATATCAAAAGTTAAACCAATTATCAATTTAAATTTAGATAAAATTTAAATTACTTTATAAATAAAAACCAAACCTATGGATGATAATTGGATTGATAGTATTTGGTGGTGGAACATGTCGTGCATTATCAAGTGCCATTTCAAATGATGATTTCTTCTTATTTTCAGGATTAACAGTAATATCATGTGCATTATTTATTGATTTATAATTTTTGTTCATATTATTGATAGAATTCGGTAAAGGTAATCGTGTATTTGAAATTGGCATTGGAAATGTTGTTCTGGGTGGTGCAATTGTAAAATTTTGAATCTAAATTATAATTTATGACTTATCTATGATGATTATTACAAATGTGTTATTTATTAAATTTTGAAATTAAATTTCAAATTCAATTATTTTGAAAAAAAACATTCATTTTGTATAGTAATTTGATGTATTATCAGATATTATTATCATTTTAAATAACCTGATTCCATGGAGGTAAGCAAATATTTTGATAAAAAATGGTATATACAATCTTTGATTGATATCTGCTAAATGCGGCCAAATCTGGACTCCATTTACTTAATATACATTCTCTCTGTATTTTATTTACCATAGCTGATCGACAAATGAATTCATAAAGTAATTGTGACTGAAAATAAACATTTAACTTATGTTTTAAAAAAAGGATGAAATGTTGAATTGAACTAAAGAAAATATTTCAAAAATATTATTTCACACAGAGAAATAAAAAGAAACTTTTTCTATTCAATATTAAGTATCAAAATTAATAAAATAATTTGCATAATTTAAGTCAGATATTATGAATCAAGAATTTAAAAAAAAGATCAATAGAATAATAATAAATCAATTTTTAAAACTAAACATTAAAATATAACAACCTTTAAGCAATGATCCAGACAGGAATTAACACTGGAAATATTTACAACAACCAAATTTCCACTTTTACCAAGATAATAATTTGGATAGTATTTGAAGCATTCCAATACCGTAGCTGGTGCTAATCGAAACCAAGTGCTTAAAACAAAAACTGGGAAATTTTTAATTTTTAATTCGATCCAGTTAACAATTATGTCAAAGATATTGCTATATACTAATGGATTTTATTTCAGCCCCTAATTTGTTAGCCTTATATTATCGACTCTTTATTAATTGATATTAAGTAGCACAAGAATTATGTCAGTAATACCAAAATTTATTAATTTAAGTGCCAATTAGTAACGAAAAAATATTACGGATAATTCCTGTGTATTTGCATATCTTTAACATGTATATATTATCAACAAAATATCAAATAAATCCATTTAATTATTTCTATTACTTTTTTTACTTTTCAATACCTATTTAATTCATTTTCATCATTTAATGATCAAATGTTAAAAAAAAAATTTCGAATTGAACTTTATCATAACACTTAAAGAAAAAGGTATCGTTCATAATCAACTAAAGTGAGTTAATTTAACAAACTTACATAAAAATGAATATTAATGAGGTTATTAGAACCATGATGAATACAACAATGGATGGTATTGATAAAAGTGATTAGTTGAAAGCTTCATTCCTTCAAACAAGGATTGATAATCAGCTTAGAACGAAGGAATTAATAATCTATATATATGCAAAGAAGATCACTGCAAATGAATGGAATTTAAGAAATGGCAATAATCGTAACTTTCCGATTATTAACAATATCATAAGTTCTAATAATAAAATGTAAATTAAGGATAATTATAAGGTGACAATATTTGATTGAAAAAGGAAGAATAAAATAGCCGAAGGGAAGAAAAATAGAAGATAAATCGTTTAATAAAACTTTTTATCTTTGTAAATACGACTACATTTCAATGGTGATATATATGTTTTAGTAAAATTTCCTGTTTTCCTAATTAACATTTATTCTACATCTTATAGAAGGATATCTATTAGATGTTCAAATATTGAATAAATATATGCGTTTAAATTGCTCATTTTATTATGCACAGGTTAAGATTAATATGATTGGATTGATAAAGATGAAATTTTAAATTTAATATGATGAAAATTTGAAATTTTGAATTTAATAAAAGCTTTCAATATTTTGAAAATTTCAAATATTTTAGTTTTGACTTGAACAATTTTGATTATATGAAAAGGGAAATTCATCACCAATAAAGTGAAATTTGATTTGAAAAAAATGAAGTTCTAAATTTAATGAAAATTTTAAATTTGTTACAGGAAAATGCATAATATTAGATGTGAATGTATAATAAGAAAAAATAATTTCAATAAGATAATTTTTGAATAAGCCATTCGAATAAACCATTAATATGTAACAAAATATAGCTTAATTAGTGAAAGATTCCATTGAACATATGGAAATAAAATATATTAGTAAATATATTGCATTAAAAAAAAATATATTAATATGAAATATATTCAAAATTAAATATAATGAGATGGATATACTAAATATTAAAACTAATCATTTTTTGAATACAATAATAGAAAAGGTTCAAATAAATATAAAATAGAATGATTGATGATAAAAATTCCAAATTCCGATTGAAATGATTACAGTGAAAATCTACGAATTTTTGATATTATAATATAGTAAAATATGAACTATTTCGGAAATGATTTATTCGAAAATTGAAATTATAAATAAATAAAACTGGCATCTGAATTTATGACGAAAATAAACAATTCAAGAAAGATTGTTAGATAATATTATCATCGCCATTCATTTTGATATTATTAAGTTCCAATTATCATTAGCATTTCCAAATTATCACTATTACTACTTTCTTGTGACGAATGAGTTTTGTTTTATTTTAATTTAATTAAATTCTGATCAAGCATATGACGATGTGGAAAAAATTAGCATAGTGCAAAATTCCAATTTGAAAATATATCAGTGATATTATATGGCAATTTATCATATTTCATAAAACATATCAGTACAGAAATCATAATTGAACAGATCGGATCGCTTGTTTTCATTTATCGACAAGCAAAACATTTGACAACCTTCTAATGAATGTATTCATTTGAATACATTTTTAATTTTACTATGGCAATTTACATTTCTATAAAAAATGTTCAAACGAAGCTATTTTTCCACTTGGAAAATATGGATGAGCTGGAAAAAATTGAAATTGTTAGAAGTTAGAAGTGAAAAAAGAAAGACAAAAGAAAAATTTAACTATCGCATTCAGGCATTTTGCAATTTCATCATCCTATTTTTTGTGATCATTTTTCCAATTTCACCATCATTACATTTTACAAAAAAAAAATTTGATTGGAGTTTGATTATTTGACATTGTAAATTTATTATTTGACATTGTAAATTTATTTATTTTGAATCTGTTTGATAAACTGATTAGAAACCAAGCCAAATTAAATCAATTAATGAAGGTTATTACCAATTGCTAACAACACTTCATATGACAAGTTAAAAAAAAGTGAAATAAAATGAAAGAAAATTTTATCAATAATTGAATGCAATAATATACTTCAAGCACCGAAAATTAATATAATTTACGGATCTTTTTTTCAGCATTTTTTGAATTTATAATGAAAATAAACATTTCAGAGAAAAATTGTTTAGATAACATTGTCTTTGAAAGCATAACAGTGAAGTAAATACGCAGTATTGTTAGCAATGTACTGATTCGTGTCACAAATGTCGCAAGTAAATACGCAGTATTGTTAGCAATGTACTGATTCGTGTCACAAATGTCGCAAATATTCTGTCACAAATGGTGACAATCTTTGCAATCAATCACTTATCCTTATCACACACCAACTTATTATTTGCCGATTTTTGAGTTTTATCCAGTAAATTATCATTGTACTGCCTGAAATTTTTTTTTGCTTGCATTTTTCAGATTGCAAGTCATATCAACATTATTGCATAAGTAAGTTTATTTTAAGAAGAAATTAAGAAGAACGAGAGATTTAAAAACTGAATAATATCAAGTAGAATTAGCATTTGGTGTTGTTTTAAAATTAAAGCTTGTTTCTACAAACATGCATTTTACTGATTGTAGAAAATGGAATTTCGGATATTTGGCTCACAATCAAAAATTTGTTTGAATTACAGGTATCCGTAATATGCGTGATAAGTTCTAATTACTTTTATTTAGATATGTGAAAATTTGTGTGTGATAAGTTGATAAAAAAATGTGATAAAAAAATGCGTGATAAGTTCTAATTACTTTTATTTAGATATGTGAAAATTTTCTTCTGTTCATATTGGCTGTCAACTTTTGTAGTATTATTAACTTTATCCAATGTCCAAAACATTACTTGCGCTTCTCATCCTTTCCTTGACCAACATTTTGGAGTTACAAGATTTAAAAATAATAAATTTAATTAATTTAAAAGTAAACTTTAATCAAGCTTCTGTTGTGTTAATTTATTAGATACTGATAACGGTCCCTATCTGTTTTCATCTCATAATGCCGTCGTCCATCGCAGACCGCGGATCACCGGATGAGAATAACTGGTCTAAAACGATTGTTTCATTCAAGAGACATTTTGTGGATATTGATTGTTGTGACAGCTTCGTTGACTGCTTCCTTTATCGCTTCTTGAGAATTTTGACAACAAACTGATATATGATAATCTTTTATCAATACAAATACCCCTATTGTAATTACAAATGTAATTCAAAGTTTGCGATATTTTTATTGACACTTGATATTAATATTAGCTTTCATAGTTTTCGAAAAGTGATATTAAATTTTCTTTCTTTCTTTTTGAAGATTTTTAATTATTGCATTTGAAGTTCGCAATTATCAAATTTGCAAAAACAATTAGAAAATTATTCCTATGGTGGTTAGACTTCATTTCAAAAAAAATTCTTTTTTGTTTTTGTTTAATAAAAATATTCTTCCCTCTATTATTATAATTTATGAATTCATAGCATTTTACCGATATTCTCAGTCCTATTCATCTAATTTCGCTCTTCCTTCAAGTAATACTCCACGAACCATGCTCTCAACTAAACTATGAATATTGAGAATTGACAGTCATGCGAAATCAAAACCATAACTATAAGCTGTACATAAAATAGTTAACAACACTTAATTGAACCTTAATTAAACTTCACTAATTAAATTTGGTGAGGAAATAAAGAACGCTCAGAGAAACTTTTAGGAAAAATGTTTCATCCAATTATTCTATCATTCTATTCTATGTATTCGATTATTCTATGTATCTTAATTCCAATATGATACTGAGTAAATATCAACTAAACATTTCCTATCATCGTACTAGAAGATATACATATCAAATGACCTATTTTTATTCGTTTTTTTTTTTTATTGACGGATTTCCCCTACTTACGAGGTTGTTATAGTAGTAGTCATCCTAGTAGTAGTCTAATTATTAGCTCTATGTAAAGTTTTTCCTTTTAATTTACTTTATGATTTGTCGCCAGGAAAGTCACAGAAAATTATAGAGTAAAATATAACTTTATAAAAAGCGAACGAAATGAGTAGCAGTATAATTAGCTGAAGTAATGGCAAATGAAGCATGGAGAGTAATTTACAAGAAGGAATATTAATCCCACCACATTTAATTAATTTCTTTTTAATTAAAGAAAATGAACAGACCCGAAAAAAAGACTCTGATTGGAACAAAAATAGCGGACTTTGAATGCCTCATTTCGTGATTATTTATTCATGAAAACCTGATCGCTTTGTCAAATTCGATTTCTAAATTATGAGGATGAAAATAAAACTTTACATTCTATCAAAACGATCAAAACTATTCAACTGTTTTCGACTAACCAAAAGGTAAAAAAAAAGACCAATGACAAATGAAGAAGACTTAGCCAAATACCAGCAATTATCTTTTTTACCCATTCAGATGAGTGGAATAATCACAATGAATCCACAATGAACTAAGTTCAACCATACTATCCGACAGACATTAACAAAATTTTCCAATATTAATGCTCATATTTAAATATGTGTCGAAAAAATTTTGCTTTCAAACAAAAATTGCTGAAAACATTTTCAAATTTTTTTAAAATACTTTGGACATTTTAAAATATTTTTTTTTAAATAGGATATAAGCAGATGACATTTTAAAATATTTTGATGCAAGCAAATATATAAAATTAAGAATGGGTGAATTTCCATATGGAGAAATGTTAAGATTCTTAAAATGCATTTTAGATTGCAATTCATTAATTCGCAGTTGCAGACAGATTACTTTGGAATAAAGAAGAAAAATTCAGAACACATAGCGGAGATTTTAGTTTGTTAGCTCAAAAATGATATGACAATTCAATTGAGAAATGAAAATATT